TGACATAAATCAACACAAACATGTTGATCAACGGCCTTTGCAACCGCCACCTGCTCAAGAAGCACTTGTATTCAAATCTCGAGTATTAGATGTAAATTCCCAATATCAAGTGTTAATATCACATGTGGAAGAGGGTCCACAAAAATTTTCCGTACAAATTGAAAGCACACAAAATATATTGACTCAACTGATGGATGAGATAAACAATCATCCGAAACAACCATTGCAAGAACCCCCATTGCCAGGATCAGTTTGCTTAGGACGATACAGGGAAGTTGGGGAAGATGGAGTATTATGTCGGGCAGTTGTAATGTCTGTGATGGAACATAAATGCAAATTGTATTATGTTGATTTTGGTCATACAGAAGTTTTACCATATACAGACATCTTTCAATTGCCACCTGAATACATTAATCCTAAAGTGCTTTCCATTAGATTCACATTAAGCGGCCTAAAGGAACTCAACCTTACGCAAGAAATGAAAGCATACTTTAAGGAACTAGTACACAGAAAATTACTTATTCTACATGTTCGTCCGCCAGAAGGACCGCCATTGATTCAATATGGTGATCTGTATGACAATGGCATGAACATAAAGGATATGCTAAAGAAAGCGTTTCCAACACCTGCTCCAACAATATCGATAACGTATTCGTACCCGCAATTACAACGATTAGCGAAAGATGTTCAAGAAATTGTGCATGTCTCTTATGTAGAGTCATGTAAAAAATTCTTTGTGCAACTTGACAAAGGCATAAAGTCTCTCGAATCGATAATGGCTGGCTTAGCACAATATGCTAAAATGGCATCTGTTCTAAATGTAGCACAATTAAAGGCAGGCTCACCTTGTGCAGCTTTGTATGATTCACAATGGTAAGTTTTAAAACAGCGACATTCTCTGTTATTAAAAACTTGTGTATTGAATTATTCGTATAAATCAATAATAATAATTGTTTTTTAGGTATCGTGCACAAATCCTTAGTGTTACTGGAGAGCAAGTTAAAGTAGTATATGTTGATTATGGAAACGAGGAAATATTACCCACAGTGTCTCTTCGTACAATTCATGATGATTTAATAACAGGTTTGCCAGCACAAGCTGTAAAATGTGCATTAAATGGTTATGAGGTGCTTTCGTCAGATCAAGAAGTCTCTAATCATTTCGAAAGATTGACGCTCGAGAAACGTTTTTATATGAAAGTGGTTGCTGCACAACCCAAAGGCCTATTAGTTGACTTATTCGAATTTGACACAATGAGGAGTATTCATCCTCAGCTATTAAACAATTTATTTTGCGATAAAAATTCTACAAGTTCGCCAAATGGAGAAATTCAACATTCTACGAAGCCAGTAAATAATTTCCAGAGGTAAGAAAGGAATATTGCTATTATATGTATATCTTAATATTATTTTAAAAAATTATAAAATATATTTGATAACAATTTAATTGTAACAATATGTGCAAATGAAAATTCACTTTAACATCAAAAGTACAACAGTAAAAGGTGCAGTTTTTATTGCATCACAGGTCTCGTATGAAAATTCAAGCAAATTTGATTCAAGGACAGAGATTAAAATTAAAAAATATAAACACAACACGGTAAACATAATGATAACATAATGCTTTTTTAGCTTTTTAATATAATATGGCTAAAAAAAAAGATTAATTGTTATATGTAAATCATAATTATATTTTTACTATTTGTAGTAACTATTAGTAGTATTATTAGTAGTATTTTTTGATGAATGTTTGTTGAAAAAAATTCTTATTCAGGGTGTCTACTCCCTGGAAAAACATTTTCAGGAAATTTTTTGTACTTGGGAATATGCAGTACATATTCTTATTTTAATTTTTAGTTGTAAAAAATGAAAAAGGTTATGCGAGTTAAAAATTTTTATTTTAACGAAAATTATTTAATTTTTTCTTTTTTTTTTCAGTACATTTATAAATCTAGCAAACTTAAATGGCTTTATGTTTTTCCTTCATGTGAATGTAAAGCATCAGAAAATGTATACAATAAAAAAAACTTATTTTAAGAAATTGCACCAAAAAATCTTTAAATATTCTTATTACCTAAA